ACAGTAAAGGAACAAGCAGTCAAGAAATATGCTACAGATTAGCATTCAGCAGAGCAGTCATGAAGGCTTTGGAAAAGATATTCTAATGCCATGATGTGTCTATCTACAAAGATCAGAATTCTGCAAGCCATGGTATTCCCTGTGACACTCTATGGAAGCAAAAGTTGAACTTCAAAGAAGCAGGATGGGAAAAGTATTGACGCTTTTGAACTTGGTTTTGGAGAAGACTCTTGAGAATACTGTGGATAGCCAAGAAAACAAAGTGATGGATCACTGAACAAATCAACCCAGAGTTCTCACTCGAGGTGAGAATTATCGTACTTTGGACATATTATGTGAAGACCCAGCTCTCTGGAAAAGGCTCTAACGCTGGGAGAGGTGGAAGGAAAGAGAAGCAGCAGCAGCAAGGTGGATGGACTCAGTTACAAGTTATGAATGTACCCTTGGGACACTTGAAAGAACAGGTTAGGGATAGATCATCTTGGAGAAAATCTATGTATGTGGTCACTAAGAGTCAAAAACAACTTGATGGCACATAATCCAGAGAGCTAGGTCTTTGCATAATATGTCCAAAGTAGACTCCAGCTTCCCTTAATATATCCAACTTCCCTTGATATATATTCTGCATATAGGTTGAATAAATAAGGGGAGAGTATGCAGCCTTGTCACACTTCTTTGCCAGCCTGGAGCCATTCTGTTTCACCATGTTCTGTCCGTACTGTGACTTCCTGACCTGTATATAAGTTTCTCATGAGACAATGAGATGTTCTGGGATTCCCATTTTTCTGAGCACTTTCCACAGCTAGACATGATTGACACAATCCATGGCTTTTCTATAATTGATGAAGCACATACTGACTTCTTTTTTGGCTTTCTCAGTTATCCAGTGTGCATCAGCAATAGTGTCTCATGTTTCTTGGCCTTTTCTAAAGCCAGCTTGAATATTTGGCATCTCTTTTTCCATGTAGGGCTCTAATCTGCATTGGATGACCCTAAGCATTATTTTGCTAGAATGTAAAATTAACTCTTCCTCAGCAGCATGTTGAGTGGCGTCTGATCTGAGGTGCCCATCATCCAACTCTATATTGTCAATCATTTTACATTTTCTATCCATGTGGTTTTCATGGTAAAAATACAGGAATGATTTACCACTGCCTTCTCCTGAGTAGTATAAATTGATGCCTGTGATGGAATGGTGTTATGAAGGCCACGCTCAGGGAAGTAAGCATTTCCTTAGCTCCCAGCAGGAGCATGGGAAGTTTAAGAAATTGAGACTGGCACCACCCTAAGGAATTCACGGTGTTGTGGCTTGCTGGGTTGGGGACCTAGGGTTAGTCTGGGGGGGTTTCTGTCTTGTGGTGGGAGGTAATTAAAGCAAAAAAAAAGTATTGGACCGGTTCG